GACATTTGGAGTCACCGGGGTCATTCAGTCGTAATGAGGCGCTCGCGGTCGGACCAAAGTAAAAGGGTTTGCCCCAGCGTTCAACTCTCCCAGACTCGTCGCCAAGCCAGATGACAGTTTGGTTTGGTGTTAGTCAGACCAATCACACGGCGGCAGGTTGATTCATCTCCAATGGAAAGTAATTAACAAGATGGGGCTTTACAGACAATCTTGATGTGTGTGTCTGTGTGTGTGTCTCCCTGTTACTGCATGTGGGTGCATGCACTTATCTATTTGCTCTAATTATTACATATAGATGAACAATAAAATGCAATTTTGTGACACAGTGGATTGTGATTATTTGTGGTCCTATCAACGGTACATTCCATAATTATTTTTATTTTCTTATCTGTCATGGTTGCGCTATGAGCAGTATTACCGTATTTATTTATTTATTTTTGGACACTTGGGGCCGTGAAACAAAGAAGTGCTCATATGACATAAGTGGTTTAGCCATTATTAAGTTATCCTAATGTAGGAATGTGTTGTTGTGTTGAATATTCTTTCTCAGTTCCCAATGTGTTGCAGCTCACTAAACTAAACTAAACTTAATTAAAGAGGCTTCTGACTTACTTTTAGTACCTTATTGTTCTTTTAGTGCCATTCACATATTTGTGTGCCTCCTAGTAACCTGTTGCATGATTAGAAAAGTGCCGCAGCTCCAGCTACATACAATAACTATGCACACCCGGTTTTTATGTTCTTTTAGTTCTACAATAAATGAAAACAGCTGAACTAAACTCAACGTATCGACCTATAGACACTCATGTTTCGTTTTATATTAAAGGTCAAAAAACACCAGGATTTTTTCAGTTTTGTCATATTGTCCTCAAAATACATTTTTGTGAGTAAGTTTTATCAGTTCTATTTATCATATAAACGTCCTCTGACATCTGCTAATCTAAACCCCACAGGCACATCAGGACCCAGACCTTTAAACCAAATCTAAGTGTGTTAGCAGCGCAGTATTCTAAGCCTAACCCTGACAAGCCCACAGAGGGTAGACTTGTGTTTAGTGAAGATGTCAGAGGCTTTCCCCTCACTTGTCACCCCTGTGATGAAGCACATGTGCGTGACTGCTCGGCACCTTCAGAATAGCCTTGGGCAGTCCCCTCTGTTCCTCTGTTTTCTCCTGAAGTTCACAGCATTGATTCAGGCAATGAGATAAGCACCGTAAGTACTGCAGAAGGTGCGCAGCTCTTAGAGGTCCTGTTAATGCAATTATAGACATAAATCAAAGCAATGGCCCATTTTTTATTTTGCTCCTGATGACATCACTTCCTGACATGGTTTATTCTGATTTCCCCTGCACATAACTATGCTCTGAAAAAAATGTTGAGAATTGTTGTGGGAATCAGACGTGATCGCTGCCCTGCCAGGCTGGAAGTTCACAGTGTAACTGTACCTTTATTGTCTGAGCAAATCATCACCTGCACACACCTTCCTGAGCTCCTCCCTGACCTCCATGTTCACTCACACGCAATGAGCAATTGAGCTGTCAGTCAAGTGGGAAGGGAAACTGGTGTTGAAACTGAACTTGCTCGGAGTGAGGAGCTTTGGGGGCCCAAAGGCAGAGGCCCGTCGGTTGTGGGCCCGCCTACCCGACAGGTTGTTCTGTGGCTGAAGTTGCTGCACTGCATCTTTCAGGAAGATTATGTCAAAGGTTCTGCATCCAAACACAAACAAGTGTGGGGCTCAGGGCTATTATTGGAGTCTGACATAGAAACTGCTTGGATTCTACTCAGGAAACAGAACTATGAGTATTAATACTTGTATTCTAAGAAAGATTTATTTGAAAAATGTATATCTCTTGCAAATACTGTATTACTGTGTAAGGGTCAGTGGCCTAATATTTTATCTCCCTCTACACAGACAAATGATACTTTATTGGGCAGATTTTTGGAATAAAAAGACA